ACACACACACACACAAATAAAACCACACACCTATAGTCTTCATTTTTATACTGGGTCTCTTGACACAAATGAACAAATTGTACCATTTAATCCAAGGAGAAATGGGTAAGAATTTTAAAGGTGGATGATAAACATAAAGATTCTTATATTCAATCCAGGTTTGATTAGTTAGTAAAATAAGATAATCTCAGGGGAACTTTTTATATTTCTTTTTAAAAAAATTATATTTATTTTTTTAGTTGTAGTTGGGCACAATATCTTTATTTTATTAATTTATTTTTATGTGGTGCTGAGTGTGCTAGGCGAGCACTCTACCGCTAAGCCACAACCCCAACCCCTTTTGTTATATTTCAGCAAAAAAATCTTACAAACTAAATTGTCACAGTCTAAAAGGATAGATCATATGAGTAAGTATATATGTGAACAATTCATTATTTTGGAAGATAATTTAAAATGTTCAGGTCTTAAGTTATTTCTCTATTGCAAAAATATTTTTAAATTACTTTAATTTTCAAGAAACATTAAGACTAATTTTTAAAATTCAGTTTTATAAAATTAATGATTGTAAATAAAGACAAGTCACATGACTTATAGTTTTGTTTGCACAAGCTAAATTACTAATATTGTAGCAATTTTAATTTTAAAATACAGTACAGAGCTGGATGCGGCAGTATATGCCTATAGTTACAGCTCCTCAGGAAGCTGAGTCAAGAGCATCACTAGAAACCAGGAATTCAGGGCCATCCTGACAATATAGGGAGATCCCATCTTAAAGAATAAGAAAAAAAAAATACAGATTATGTTGCTCCATTTATGAAAGTTAAAGGATGGAAGAAGATATATCAGATAAATTCTAAATCAAAAGAATGCTAGTTAAACAATTAAAAAAACTACAAAGAAAATTCTAGAACTAAAAGAAGTAAATTAACTGAGCAAAAGCTAGAATTTGAGTTTCACAGAATGTTCTAAAGCTGGGAGATAGGGAAAAAGAGAAGTAAAAATAACTGAAATGCCTCATTTTACTGGAGTCAGGGTAAACAATCTTATTTGCAAACATTGAAGAACTATGTTAGAGTACAGAAAAAGGCATACTGATTATTAATAGAATGGGACATTATAATAGAATTTCTACACTAATAAGGAGGAAGAGGTGGAGGAATCACAAATTCATCAGCAATAACAGAAACAAAGAAGAAAATAATGTAAAATAAATAGACACAGTAGAGGAAATAAAATCAATACATGTATCATCATAAATGGGTAAAATATTAAAAACAAAAATGCTCCATTTTCAAGAAAGATACACAATAAACAAGAAATATCACATAGCAAAAAAGCACAGAAGTAGTATATCAAATCACACAAGCTAGAATTTAAAGTTGAAAAAACTTCTAAAGAATGTTCATAGAAAACAAATATTAAAAATGACTAACAATAAGTCTAAGAAAAGATAAAGCGATGTTCACTATTTAAAATAAAATGTAAGCTAGGCATAGTGGCACATACCTGTAATCCCAGCAACTTAAGAGGCTGAGCAAGTAAAGACAAGCCTCCACAATTTAGCAAGGCCCTAAGTAATTTAGTGAGAGCCTATTTTTCATAATAAAAAATAAAAAGGGCTGGGGATGGGACTCAGTGGTTAAGTACCCCCTGGGTTCAATCCCCCATACTAAAAAATAAAACAAAACAAAATTTAAAGTAGGTATTTCCTGAAATTGTGTTTATTATTCTTAAATTATCCTTTTAATAAGATTCATTTTTATTTTTTTAAAAAAGTAAGTTGCCTAGGAAAAGGCTTCAGGGTATATAAGATAAACTATGTTTATTTAATTATCTTTGCATATACTACTATTTATTAAATGAGGATATCATTATTCTCCCTGTTTCTAACTATATTAATACAAATAATCCTTTGAAATTTAAAAAGTTTTATCTTTATAAGAAAAAAAATCTTCAATACCTCTTACCAAGTCAAAGATTTTGTACCAATATTCTTAACACAAAAAACACTTCTTTACATAGTTGACGCACACCTGTAATCCCAGCAGTTCAAGAGGCTAAGGCAGGAGGATCACAAGTTCAAAGCCAGCCTCAGCTATTTAGAAAGGCTTTAGGTGACTTAGCAAGACCCTGTCACAAAATAAAAAATAAAAAGGGCTGGGGATGTTGCTCAACAGTTAAGTGCCCCTGAGTTCAATTCCTGGTACTAAAAATAAATAAAGTGTTATGTGTGACAATGTTTCATGGTACATCACATACAAATCTTTTCAATACATCCCTTTTCCCCAAAACATTCCACAAACAATTGACTTAACCCCTGATATATAACTTGAAAAACCTCTGCCACCATTGTGAGAGTGTATTCTTTACCACTTTCCAACCAATACTCAAAATCAAAACAAAAATGACTAGGAACTATGACTATAAATTCAAGTCAGTTTAAGTTTTTGTTTCTGCATTTTTTAAACATGATAATGATAATTTTAAAAACATAGGCGCGGGGGATGTGGCTCAAGCGGTAGCGCGCTCGCCTGGCATGCGTGCGGCCCGGGTTCGATCCTCAGCACCACATACAAAGATGTTGTGTCAGCCGGTAACTAAAAAATAAATGTTAAAAATTCTCTCTCTCTCTCTCTCTCTCTCTCACTCTCTCTTTAAAAAAACATATTATCATGTTTTAAAAACAATTTTGGCTTGTAAAGGAAGGAAATAGGATGAAATTTATTCAAAGATTAAAAAAAATAAGGACAAAGAGAAACTACATAATTGATAAATTTAGTATAATTAATTTATAGAAGTCTAATATCCTCTAAAGAGAAATGCTAGCATTATCTATGGGGCATGTAAAAATGTCATGAAGCTGGCAATAAAGAAAACCTTAATGTATTTCTTAAAGTAGTGATTTTAGGGCTGGGGATATAGCTCAGCAGTAGAAGACTTGCCTAGCATGCATGCAGCCCTGGTTTGATCCCCAGCGTCTTGTCTCCCTTATCCCTCCTGTCCTTGCCCATACTAAAAAAAAAAGTAGAGATTCTACAGACCACATTCTTTAGTCTTAATCCAACCAAGTTAAAATTACATACATATGTATCAAAAGCCAAACAAGCTTAATTACTTTGAAATTAGAAAACATATTCCTAAACAGACAATGGAAGAAAACTAAAAATTATCTGAAAAGTAGGAAGAAAACACTTTGTACTATATATATAGGATATATCTAAATCTATATTCTGAGAGAAACATCCTTTAAATGATTTCAATATTTAAAAAGATGAAAGATAAAAGAAGTAATTTAAAAAAAAACAATTTTTAAAGGACAAGTAAATGAAAAGAAACTAGGAAGAAAAAATTAAGATAAACTGAAAAGGATGAAAAAGGATAAATAAACTTAAAAGACAGTCTTGAAAGATGAATAAACTATATAGATTAAATCACCAACAACAAAAAAAGAGGGAACAAAACTATAAACACTTGGGGCTGGGATTGTGGCTCAATGGCAGAGCGCTTGCCTCACATATATGAGGCACTGGGTCTGATCCTCAGCACCACACAAAAATAAATAAATGTATTGTGTCCATCTACAATTTAAAAAATATATTTAAGGGGTTGGGGATGTGGCTCAAGCGGTAGCGCGCTCGCCTGGTGTGCGTGCGGCCCGGGTTTGATCCTCAGCACTACATACAAACAAAGATGTTGTGTCCGCCAAAAACTAAAAAAAAAATACTAAAAAATTATCTCTCTCTTTAAAAAAAAAATATTTTTTTTAAAAAAAACTACAAACACTTAAGATATGAAATGAGAAACTCAGAAGATACTGACAGAATAATGCATTTTTTTAAAAGAGAATGAGAAAAAGAGAATTTTTTTTTTAATATTTATTTTCTAGTTTTTGGTGGACACAACATCTTTGTTTGTATGTGGTGCTGAGGATTGAACTCAGGCCGCACGCATGCCAGGCGAGCGCGCTACCGCTTGAGCCACATCCCCAGCCCTAGAATAATGCAATTTGTGGCAAGAAGTTTCAAAGTCAAATAAATAGACAATTCCTTAGCAAAATTTTTAAAAAGACAGATTTTTTTTTTTTGGTACCAGGGATTGAACTCAGGGGTACTCGACTACTGAGCCACATCCCCAGCCCTATTTTGTATTTTTTTTTTTTTTGAGAATTTTAATATTTATTTTTTAGTTATCGGCGGACACAACATCTTTGTTGGTATGTGGTGCTGAGGATCGAACCCGTGCCGCACGCATGCCAGGCCAGCGCGCTACCGCTTGAGCCACATCCCCAGCCCCCCTATTTTGTATTTTAGAGAGGGTCTCACAGAATTGCTTAGTGCCTCGCCATTGCTGAGGCTGGCTTTGAACTCATGATCCTCCTGTTGCTGGGATTACAGGTGTGTCCCTCAGCAAGATACAAAATTTGAACAGACTAATTTTAAAATAAGATAGTAAGTTAGACACAAATGAGCTCACTGCAGAATTTTTGTAAGTCTTTCAAGAGATAAATACTCTACTTGGAACTAACTATCCAATTACTAAGATAACATGTCTTGAGATGGGTTTTATCAGATACAATGTCAAAGCTTCTGTCCTCATGAATGAAATGTAACTAAAGCATTATTCACGTTTCCTTTCAATAAAATCAATGTGAAAATGGGGATGTATTCGGAACAAATTTATTCCACGTAAAGGCAGGTGCTAGGATATTTCATCAAGTTAGGATATAAAAGACATTATCACTCAGCATCTTTATAGTACATTAATCAAAGTATATATCCCAATGTACCTTAAAGTCAAATAAAATGAAGACAGCAAAACACACATTTTGTTACTCATTTATTTTAAAATATTTATTAACTACCTATAAATTCTAGGTAAAAATGTTTATACCAACAATCTGATAAACATAAGTTTTCCTTCAAGGATTAATTAAAAGGGTAAATTTTCACATGATAAAACCATTATGATATTTCATATTTTAAGAACATTAAGTTACTTACAACTGCAAACTCATCTCTGTCAAGCTTTCCATCATGGTCAATATCACTCAATTCCCAAACCTTAAAAAAGAAAATTGAGAAATATCAATGTTCTTTCATTTCATGTGTTGTTTAGGAACTGAGAGAGAAAGTATACTAGAGAAATATAAAAAAGTAGAGATAAGCAAGTGCCTGGTCATTAAATGCCTTGAGTTTGGATTTTTCTTAATTGTAATAGGAAGCTTCTAAAAACTTAGATTCAAGTAATAAAATGACACAATTATTTACAGTTTGCAATCCTTACCACATAGAAGAGAAATAAACAGTGGCAAACATATACATTTTTTTTTAAATCAATATTTATTGAGCCCCCAATCTATGTTAACACTCATCTAGAAGTAGTGTAAGTACTATGGTGGTAATGTTGCCTTCATCATTATCGTCATCATCAACATCACCAAAGCAGCTATTAACAGTACCAGTGAGTACATTATTTACATTATCATATTTGATGCTTACAACCCTCTAAACTGGAAAATATGCCCATAACAGTACCAGTGAGTACATTATTTACATTATCATATTTGATGCTTACAACCCTCTAAACTGGAAAATATGCCCATTTTAAAGATCAGAAAACCAAGATGTGGTTTTCTAATTATTTGTCCATGGTCACACAACTAAGAAGCAGTATAGCCAGGATGTGACCCTATGTAGTCTGCTTAAGCAGGGAATTAAAGTAAGGGCCAGAGGTTTAGAGAGAGAAGATAAGGTTTGACATATGAAAAGAGAGTAGAGAGAAATCACTTTGGAAACAAAAAAAGAGTGTTAAGCAATAGGAAGAACCCCACCTGATGCTGGTGATCACAAATTTATGATGACATTAACCTTATTAGGCTGTCTCATATATGCAACCAGTGATAAATTAGGTTCATGTAAAATTGGATTTTTAGTAAAGTCAAAGACTACTTAGTGAAATTTTAAAAAAAATTTTGCAAGCATCTAGGAAAAAGATCTAGAGAGACAAGAATTCAAGTCAGAATATATTAGGGGAACCTAAGACAGATCTATGTTTTCTCACAGATGGATCTTAATATATTTTACATCTTAATATAATTCCCACTAAGTAGCCATCTTTAAACATACACACACACACACACACACACACACACACATATATGGTTAAAAATATATATTCAAAAATCATGTTGTGCATGATAAATACGTATAACATTCTCCATCAAATTAAAAAATTTTTCTAATTTAAAACGGGAAAAAAGAATTCAAGTCAAAGAATATAATTTATGATTACATCAGGTAGAGAAGATGGAAGAAAATGTGGCAAAGGGAGCTGCGAAGAGAATATGGAATTATAGACCAGGAGTCAGGGACCAAGCTGCATGAGGAAAACAGTAATTTCAAAAGATAAGGGGAAAGGTTGGAGATATGGTTTAGCGGTAGAACCTTTGCCTAGCATGTACAAGGCCCTGGATTCAATCCCCAGCACAGCCAAAAAAAAAAAGGGGGGGGTGACAGTTTTCGTTTTACAAGATGAAAAAGTTATAAAGATACATGATAGTAATGGTTGAACAACAATGTAGTATTCTTAACACTACTTTACATTTAAAATTGGATAAAAGGGCAAATATCATGTTATATGCATCTTACCACAATAAAAAAAGACAGAGGGAAAGTAAAGGAGTCTAAGATTTAAAGGTCTGAGTGAAATCAAAGAATTAAAGTCTTGCAAGTATCTATAAAGAAAAGATCTAGAAAAAGTTCAAGTTAGAAAGTACAATTAATTATTTCAAAGATGAAACTATTCCTTATAAGACCACATGATATAATGGGGTAAGTGGTAAACATAAAATATTGATAGTCTTTAAAAACTGTCATGCAGTTGGAAATTAGAGCATACAGCACAAAGAAAAATGGACCTGCTTAAGGGGCTTACATATATAACTAACTTCAATCACTTATATTTTACAGGGAATAATAAAAAACACAAATAAAGTGGGAATAATTTTATATATTAAGTCAGGACACAGAAAATTCTATAATAAGGCAACTTTAAAATAAGATTGTACATTTAATAATGACCAACAAGTGCTCTTAGTAAATATAAAGTTATAATACAGAAAATACTGCATTTAAAACTTAATATCTTACTCTTCCAAGGATTTCCACAGGTAACTTAGAGTTGAGCAACACTGGCTTCACTTTATCACCAGACAAAAATCCATCCACTGGACTTAAACTATCAAAAATTGCATCATATTTGGCCTTATCTTCACTCTAAAATAAAATGTTTTTTTAAAAAAATGACAAGTTAAGTAATGGTGAAAATGTTTTGATTGCAGTTATAAAAATCAAGTCTTCATAGAAGACATTTTTAAAAATAACATTTAAAAAACATTTTTTTACCTTCATCAAATATATTAATTAATAATTTTAAAGATTCTACTTAAGAGTCCAGTGTCCCCTATTCCTTTTGAAGCTGGAACACTCTTTGTTAGAATCAAAAGATTTCAGAGACAGAAACAACTAGTTCTAACTCTCTCACTTAAACAGACATACAGCAAAGAAGTAACTTTCATAAGTTACAATTTTATAACATTTGATGAGTTTCTAAAAATGGTATTAGGTACATTTCAAATGCAAAAAAATGAAATTTTTAAAAACAAACATCAATACTCTAGGAATAAACACCAAGATTCCCCCAATTTTCCCAAAGCAAAATTTATTTTTCTTGTCAACAAGATATCTCCTAAAATTTTAAATGTTACTTGTATAACATGAAAATCTTCTATTCATTATTTGTCCAGTCAATACCAAATTCCTCATTTTTTTTTTTGTCACAAAATGACTAATAGAACTGAAAGATCCCTCAAAGATTCCAGTGTAGGTACTTTTCCTATTATACTTAAATATACATATGAAAGTCTAACATGCATTGCAATGTATTTCAGAAGTAGGGGGAAAGGATATAAGTGAGTAGGAAGCAAAGCAGGAATAAGAAATGAATAGTTACACAAATTACTTACTTTAACAGTCCATGGAAGCTCAGCTGCAGGGGTTCCGCTGGTTAGTAAAGGACTACTGGTATCATGCTAAAATGTAAATAGCACATGAATTGTTGAAATTCTCATATCAATGAGCAATGAAGAAAAATGGTCTTTGGATTTAAATATATTCATATAAAACACTGGATCTCTAAGCACTTAAAACACTTCTTATATTAAGTAGACCTTCAACTATTTTCTACTAAAACAAAGTCATTTTCACTTGACCACATAAATCACTGTGGAGGACTAAGTAAAACATGTACTAAAAAAGAAATCCTACAACAATTGAAAGATAAAGTTATCTGGAAAAAAAAAATTTTTTTTTTTGTTACCAAGGATTAAACAAGGGGTTGCTTCATCACCGAGTTGCACTCCAAATCCTTTGCATTGTTTTTTATTTTGAGGCAGGGTCTCACTAAGTTACTGAGACCAGCCTCAAAGTTGCAATCCTCCTGCCTCAGCCTCCCAAGTGGCTGGGATTATAGTCAGGCACCACTGTGCTCAGCAGATATCTGAATATTAACGAAAATACTTGAAGTCCTATTAACTGATGACTTTTCCCGAATATTATCTTTTAAAAACAAACCAACTTAGCATTTGTAAGTTTTAAGTACACAATACCTATTAATAGTATTTTCCAATTATTATGTTTATCTGGATGAAGACAGATTAATATTTTTTAAATGTTTTTTAAGATGTTGATGAACCTTTATTTTATTCATTTATTTATATGCAGTGCTGAGACTCAAACCCAGTGCCTCACACATGCTAGGAAAGTGCTCTACAACTAAGCCACAACCCCAGCCCAGATTAATATATTTGAAAAATCTTTTTAATAATAGTTAGGTAACAAATCCCTATATTGACACTTGATTCCATGCCTAAACAAAGAAGTGCAGACATCCCCCAAACTGAAGTTAAATTTTTGATACTTCTAAAATATTGTTTAAAAACAAAGAGGAGCTGAGGTTATAGCTCATTGATATAGCGCTTGCCTAGCACACATAACAGCACTGGGTTCAATCCTCAGTACCATATTAAAAAATAAATAAAGATAGATATATTGTGTCCACCTACAACTAAAAAAAAAAATTTTAAAAGCAAACAAACTAGAGCTGGGTATTAAGTTCAGTGTAGATCACTTGCCTTTCATGCACAAGGCTCTGAGTTTGATCCCCAGAACAACAAAAAATGAAATAGAATTAAGATAAAAAGCAAAAAAAGTCATTACATTTCCAAAAAAAGAGTGGGACAAAAAGAACTAGCCATAAAGAGATACAGAAAACATTTACCAAATAATGATAATTAAAATAACATAAAACCAGCAAATAAACAGATCAATAGGTAAGAATAAAAATATTTTAAAAATCCTAAATACATGAGAATTAAGCTCATGATTAAGGTAGCATTTTAAATCAGTAAAGATTGATTATTCAACCCACTACACTGAGTCTGTAGGGTGGCCATCTTGAAAACATAAATTTGAATCCATATTGATACCCAAATCAGTATTAACTTAAATAGTGAAAAAAAAAATAACTTGACAATTTACTTACTTGATTAAAAAAAAAACAGTCATGGAGCAGGGGGAATCAAAAGCAAGGGCAAAAGACAAATGACATGCTGGGAAAATATATTTGCAGCATATATAGACAAAAAGTTAATTTCCTAATTTTTAAAGAATCTCTAGAATTTAATAAATTAAAAAAACCTACCCAAGAAAAACATGGAGAGCCTATAATTAAATAGTCACATAAAAGTAATGTAAACTGTTCATAAGAAAAATACTCAACCTCACTTTATAAAACCAAAAGGATGAATCGGAATTATATTTACAAACCATGTGTCACCAAATTGACAATAATTTTCTTATAGTATAACAACAGTATGCTACCAAATATGTAGGAAAACAGGGCACTTGAACCAACTTCTGGTGGGAATGTAAACTAACAAACCACTACAGAAGGCAATATACACCCAAATTACAAAGGCAAAAATTTTTGGAACATCAATTCCACTTTTGGGAATTTATACATACATGTATCTGCACATGCAAAATAATATACGTACAAAGTTATTATTCATAGAACCATTTTATAACAAAACACTAAAACAATCTAAAAGTCAAACAATAGGAAGTTAAATAAATTATGGTAAATACAAACAAAGAAATACTATGCAGCCATAAAAAACAGAGAGGAAATTTTTGTGCAATGATATGTAGAGATTTATAAAACATTTGTTATTTTAAAAAGTTATAGATTCAAGCGGTCAATATGCTATAATTAACAAAAAATGAGGAAATACATACTTATACATATTTATATTTCGTTATATGCACACATAGTTACTGAAGAATACATAAGAAAGAAAAAAAGAATACACAAAAAACAGTAGCAGCTATTAAGAAAGAAAATCATGTAGCTGAGGGATAGGGTTAAAGGAGAAATTTATTTTTAATATATTAATTTTAATTTCAAATCATGTGGTGTCACTTTTTAATAATTAGATACAATTTACATCTAAAATCATTTCTTACAAATCTTGGTGGAGGAACAGCCAAGTTCAAGCTATTCAGTGAAACCTCCAATCCATTCTGGGCACATGCTACAAGACGCAAAGCCACAAAGAATTCCTGGGGAAAAAAAGTATGACCATTATCTACCACACATACTACTTATAATCTGAAAATGTAAAAGAATTCATAATTACTCTCGAGTTTTTATGTAGCAACAAATATAATAACAAATTTGTTTCAAGAACACTTGCTTTAAAATTGAAAAAAAGACCCATGTACAAAGATTTTTCTAACACTGTAAGTAACAAATAACAATATAAATAGAAAATATTTAAATAAATTGTGATACATACTGATAATGAAAATTTTACGTAACTAATACTCATATTTCAAAGAATATTTAATGTTGTTAGAAAATGTTTTGAGAAAAAGGAATTTGAGAGTGGGAGCCTAGGAGGAAATCACTAAATGTTATTAATCATCTCTTCAGTGTGAGATTATAAATTTTGAAACATGGATCAGTAATTCAAGTGACTTAATCACTGCTATTCCAAAACAGCTGCAGAAATAAATGAGTAGCACTTAAAACAATTATATAACTGGTTGACTTCAAAATGTTTATAAATCTCCCACAAAGGTCCTTGGATTTTAAGTCTCAGTCCAAAACTAATTAAATAAATAAATGTAAAGAAACTAAAGCAACTGGTTTTCAGCTATTTTGAGTTAGAGATAAGTCTAGGAATAGACATGATAACAAAAGACTTTACTCCAGGTTTAATCTTTACAACTTGTTGACATCCTAATACAGTGGCTTGTTGACATCCTAATACAGTAGTTTATTCAACACTTCCCTACTTTTCTAAAACCTCTTGTTCTCACCCATGTCCTATTACTCTATTCCTAACTTTTTCTTAAAAAGTCAGGCTGTCTGTTTTATACAATACCTTGCCTTTCAGTCATAAATTTCTTGAAAAAATGTTACCAAGAAACCCTCTTCTGATTTACTCCAAAAGTTTCCATGTAAAAGACTCCACTCCTTGATTAGCTAGGGAAACTAATGCCTATGTCCTCCTCATTCTCTTTCATTCTGAAGTACTTCTCCACCAAATAGCTTAATGAAACTCTCCTAGTTCTTTCTGACCTTTCAAGTCTCTTTTGAGAGGAGTCTATACCTCCTCTCACTTTTAAATGCTGGTATTCTAAGTACTCTTTACATTCCTTCTTGTCTTATTCTGAGAGATTCAATTACTCTTAGGTAATCTGGTGCACTTCCACTGTATAGATGGATTCTTTAAGTGAAATAATTCTCCATGAAATTCTAGTTCTGTTATCTAAAGTTGCGTGGGCAAGTTAATTAAAATAAAACTTCCACATAAGGGGAGCTAATACTAACTAACTTGCAATGTGTTATGAGCAACAAAATAAAAATTATAATAGAGGAGGAAAGCACCAAGTGTCATTGTCAGAACAGAATCAGGCCAGAATACTCAGGCTTGATTAGCCAAGAGATTCCTTTCAAATATACCAAGCAATACCATCTTAACACTTACTAACAAAATCAATGTTTACTTATACACCCAGAAAATTGAAATTAGTAAGATTAAAAGAGCAAAATCTTTCTATAGGACAGAAAACAAATCTCAGTGGAACAATGTCACCAAACTAACATTAACCTTTAGGAATCAGATATTTTAACGTTTAGTGCTTGGTATTATTTTCACTGTTATGACAATTGCTCTTGTAAATTCCCTAATGTTGATAAAAAGCAATTCTTAGCTTAAAAATATAAAACTCTGTTGGCTATTTTTTATTTCAAATTACTTAAATTTTTCATATGAATCTCTGAATCTTACTTGTTTGTTCAGGATGCCTTTGCCATCTGTGTCAGCTAAATCCCAAATCTGAAATTAGGAGGTGGAAAAAGAATCAATCTATATTTTTAACAGAAATCATCTCAAAGATAAGTTAAATCCCTATAATTTACAACCTCATATTCTGATAATCAAATCTAAAAATCGTGGAATTAAAAGTGGAAAGAACCCTTAAAGATCATTCAGTGCAACCTTTCACAAAAATACTAAGACCCAAAGAGGTTAAGTGACTTGCCTCAAGAACATTCAAGGCATCGGGGAAAGAAGAAACCCAGGTTCCAACTTTCAGTCAAATGCCTTTTTCACTAACCCAGGTTTTAACTCTTGAGTCAAACATGCTCTTTCTACTGCAACATACTGTTCTTGATTTTAGGTTCTTATTAAGGTTATATTCTTTCTCATGGGCAAATTGAGAAGGTAAATGTTTATTTGCAAATAATTAAATTAAGAAAAGTGGTTATTTTTCAGGATTTTAACTATGTATCAATAAATAGCAAAATAATTTCATAGGACGGGGCTTTCTGCCTTTTTTGTGCTCTTTCCAAAGCCTCCCAAAATCCCCATTCCATTCATCACACATTCAACAGAGACACTTATATAGAGGAAGCAGGGATAGAGCCAGCTCTGAGTGGGTGGCAAGGATCCACTATTTCCCAACAATAATCAAGTGTAATATTATTTCCTCATTTATCCTCTTCAAAAGTAATTTTTTCTTAACTTTTGAACTATGCTTTATTTTTCAAGAAGGTAAATTGCTATGTCATAAATGTCCCTCATCCCATTACTGTAACTGCTTTTGTGATTTGGTTCTTACATTTCTTGATGGTTATGTTTCTTAATCTTCAGCCAGTTAATCTAGCATTCTATGTATTCATTATAACCTAGTTATAATATAGAAACACTACCTTTCCAAGTATCAAGTCTGGAAGCCCTGACTTTTTCAGAAAAGCAGCAGCATCTGAAGCCAACACCCTTCCAGTATTGCCTGTATCAACCTGAAAAGACACAAACTGTAAGCTTAGAAAGAAAGGTAAAATTGTCACCATTTACTGGCCTCCATCCCTGTGATTTGGGACTGGCTTTTTCAAGAAATGAGCAGGAATCCTCTTACTAACAAAGGCTAAGGAATTTGCGGACAGTAATATGAGTAGAGTACCACATATACAGCAGCAGCAATTTGCTAAGTTTGTTTTTGTTTTGTTTTGTTTTGTTAATCATGCCTACTATCCAATAAGAAACCAAAGCTCAGAGGAAGTAAAAGCAAATTAGTGGAGTTAGAACTTCAACACATGTCTTCTGACTCCAATTTTTTATGATTGTCACTTCAATTCCAATAATCTTAAATGGCAAGAGAAGAAAAAAAGGCAGCATTTCTCATTTCCTGGACAGGTCTTCTAACAAATGAGAATTAGCTGCCTATGTTGTCTGCCTCTTCAAACAGTTTCAGATTATCTGATTGTCACTTCAATTCCAATAATCTTAAATGGCAAGAGAAAAAAAAAAAGGCAGCATTTCTCATTTCCTGGACAGGTCTTCTAACAAATGAGAATTAGCTGCCTATGTTGTCTGCCTCTTCAAACAGTTTCAGATTATCAACTTCTGCTTTTATATGTACTCTTTAAGAACTGCAGCACTTTAAAAAGAAGGGGGAGGAGGAGGAGAAATTGATTTCACAATAAACTTTAAGAAACATTGTTAAAATTGTTAAGTTTCTACAATTCATTAAGGGAAATGCATCATTTAACTAATGGGGACTTTCCTTTAAGACAGAATGATGTCACAAGAATAGGAAAAAAAAAAAAGAGAGAGAGAGAGAGAAAAAATTCCAAAAAATGACTCTCATTTTTGCAAAAATTTCCTAAAGTTCCATATGAAAATATATAAAGTAAAATTTAAAAAGTCATGGGAAAGTTAACAGTATACCAGTATACTAGGATGTCTGTGAAATAGCTATATTGCCAGTTAAAAGATTAAGTTTACTATAAACATAAAGTATTCAAGACTGTTCAGTATAAACAAAGAGGCAAAAAAAAAAAAAAAGAAAACCTTTCTTTCAAGTGCTAGAACATAGGATAAATCAGAAACTAAGCAAAAAAGAAAGAGTTGCCTAATCCTTCAAATTTGGAATAAGAATTACAGAAAGGATTAGGAAATCTGCCTCCAGAATCCTCCATAACTACTGTTCTTTGTTCTCTCCCTGACCAGGATTGAAAAGGAATACTCATACCCAATATAACCTAAACAGAGGCACTCAGAGGAAACAGCAGTCAACTCATGAAATATTTGTGTACTGTATCCCAATAAAGAATTTTACTATCTGTCATTCTTTTGGTTGCCATAATAAATTAAACACAGTCACTGTGTCTGTGTCATCTATAGGCAGTTTCTATAGTACTCTGATGCTCTGTTATAAACTATATAGGCTAGAATCTGTATCTTCAACAGACAGTTCTCAAAGATCTCATGGAAGGGTCTCTGAAATACTAATACTCCAAAAATAGAGTTTTGGGTAAAGACTTCTGAGTTGATATCATTTAAGCAATTTTTCAGGCTATATTGGTAGATGAAATAAGGATTTCCAGGATTCTTTTCAGTCTGGAAACAGATGTACTTCATGAAAGCTGACTCCTGACCCAAGATCCAGTCAAGAAAGAATTATACAGAACTGGTTAAATTAGTGAAGAAATTTAATTATGATTATTTACTTGAAATAAATTGTTTTTTTTTTCATTTTGCTTTAATTTTTATGGTGCTAGGGATTGAACCCATGGCCTTGCATGCACTGAGCATATGCTCTACCACTGAGTTACTACACTCTGAGTCCTCTTATTTATTGATTTTATTTTAAGAGATGAGGTATCACCATATTGCCTAAGCTGACCCCAAACTCCTAGGCTTAAGTGATCCTCCTGCCTTAGCTTCCTGAGTATCGAGGAATATAGGAGAGAGTCACCTCATCTGGTGGTATTATTTCTAATTTTCTATTTTTCTTTTTCTTCCTACATTATCTCAATCCTCAATTTGATATGAATGGAACAGTTTTCAATGGTATCTGATTCTCATTGGCCTATCAGAATCAAAAAACAAATACTTCTACTTAACATCTTTACTTTTTATGGCAATGTAACTATTAAAGATCTAATTACAATTTGTTCTACTTTTGTTCTACTTTTGTAAGAAGACAATCAGATAATTCCTGTGCAAAATAAGGTCATATTTAAGAATGATTTCATTTTATTATTTTTATTATATTAATATTATTTTGGATATTCACATAGAAAAAGCTACTATTGAAGAACATTGACTTTATGTTGAGTCAATACTTACAAATCCCTCTCAAGAAAACTGACTTGCTATCTGGCAAGTTCCAGCCTCACAGATAGTAAAGCAAGGTCACTTACCAGCAAGCCAGGAACCCTGGATGTCTAAGAAACCTTCAGATGTGATAAATTCATTCTAATTTACATGTAATGCTGGTGAAATATGGAAGAGAGATCATAGCCTCAAGACAAAGGAAAAAACCTGGGCACGGTGGCACATGCCCGTAATCCCTGCAGCTTGGGAGGCTGAGGATGGAGGATCCCATGTTCAAAGCCAGCCTTAGCAAAAGCGAGGCACTAAGCAACTCAGTGAGACCCTGTCTCTAAATAAAATACAAAATAGGGCTGGGGATATGACTTAGTGGTCAAATGCCCCTGAGTTCAATCTCCAGTACACACCTGCCCCCCCCCACAAAAAAAAGATAGAACAACAATTAATAGAGGCTTTAAAATGTACAATCAAGCTGGGGATTGTGGCATACACCAGCTACTAAGGAGATTGAAGCAAGCTCGCTTGAGCCCAGGAATTTGAGACCAGTTTGGTAAAGACAGACCTCAGCTCTTAAAAAATAAACAAATAATTGGTCTGGGGCTGCAGCTCAGTGGTAGAGCACCTGCCTTGCACATGTGAGGCACTGGGTTCAATCCTTAGCACCACATAAAAATAAATACATAAAGATTTGTGTCTCTCTACAACTAGAAAAAAATAATTAAAAATAAAAATAAACAAATAATTAAAGAATTAAAATATAATCAGATTCTAAAATTCTTCAAGCAGAAATTAATTCTCTGGCCTTTTAAACTGCTAAATAGTATATGGTTCTAGGTCTACTAGTCAAAACCAAAGAGGCCTAAAATGGTTAATTTATATTTGCCACAACTCTGTGGATGGTCAGGCCAGATATGAGACCAGTCTTTTCTATAATCATCATCACAAGGTAAGGAGGCTTTTAGAAAAAAAAAATGATCTAATACTTGGAAATGGGCAAGTGAGAGTGTGTATACCCTTAAGAGACTATCTGATATATACTATATACCTTTGAGTAACTTTCTATTGGAAAGACTATTCTACACACTGTAGGGATAGAGGTTAAACTATGGAAAACTGAGGCCTGGTACAGTAGCTCAATGCCTGTAATCCCATTGACTTGGGAAGCTAAGACAGGGGGATCACAAGTTCAAGTCCAGCCTCAAGGCCAGCCTTAGTGAGATCCTGTCTCAAAAATAAAACAACAAAAGAGGCAGAAGATATAACTCAGATGTATAGAGCCCCTGGTTTTAATCCAAAATAAATAAATCAAAAATTAGGGGCTGGTGATGTGGCTCAAGCAGTAGTGTGCTAGCCTGGCATGCGTGGGGCGCTGGGTTTAATCCTCAGCACCACATAAAAAATAAAGATGTTATGTCCACCAAAAACTAAAAAAAATAAATATTAAAAAATTCTCTCTCTCTCTCTCCCTCTCTCTCTCTTAAAATAAAATAAATCAAAAATTATAGAAAACTGTTAGCAATACAAATCATTCCTGTCTATACCAATGCAAGTAAATTTTGTCTGGCAGAGTATGAATCTCTGTAACTCATATTCTCATTTTTATACTCAACTGGTTCCTTCAATAACTAATAAATTGAATAAAATCCTTGATTTCCTCCAACCCACCTTTGTTTTTTTTGTTATTTTTTTCCCTTTTTTTTTGTGGTGCTGGGGATGGAACCTAGGATCTTATGCATGCTCAACAACTGCTCTATCACTAAGATATTCTCTCAATCCCCATGCTCATTTTAGATTTATATGAAACCCAGGGTTTTCAGCTTGTGAAAATTATACTTTAGTAAGTTTTAAAAACAGCATAAAAGTGGGTCTGGGGTTGTAGTTCAGTGGTAGAGTACCTGCTTAGCATGTGTGAAGCACTGGGTTCGATTCTCAGCACCACATATAAATAAATAAAATAAAGGTCCATCAACAACTAAAAAAATATTCTACAAAAACAGTATAAAAGTCATTTCAATTTGGATTATAAGTATATCTGAATAAATATATCTAATGTTGTATAGATTTCACATAGATATTTAAGGCAATTAAATTACTTTAATTATTTTGCCTTCTTTTTTCTAGAAGTACTAAGTATTCAAAGCTAGAGGCACAAAAAGTTAAAAACAAGACATGTCAAATTTATTCAGCTAGCTGATAATCTACATGCATAAAATTGACAGTTGATAGTATACTTTATGTTCCATCTAGGAAAAACAGAAAAAAAAATCTTACCTGTCTATAGTATTTTTCATATACAGGATTCCCACTTGATAACTAAAATAAATAAGTAAATAATAATTATATTCAATAACTTCTATTAACATGTTTGGCATACAAATATATTGAGAAACAAAGGTGAATAAAATAAAAAAGATCCTTAACTTCAGTTAAGATTGGTTTCATTTCTTTTTTGCCAAGTTGAAAGGGAGAATAAAAAAAGACAGTCCCATGTTTTACTAAGGATTAAGTAGACAAGAAATAAAACAAGAATCTTAAAATTGTTTTTAACTCAAAGCTGGGTACAGTAGCATACACCAGTAATCCCAGCAACTCAAGAGGCTGAAATAGGAGACCTTGTCTCAAAAATAAGAAGGGCTAGAAGGCTAGGGCTATGGCTCAGTGGTAGGGCACTTGCTTACCATTTGTGAGGCACTAGGTTTGATAGTCAGCACCAAATAAAAATAGGTAAATTAAAAGAAGGTATCATGTCCATCTACAACTAAAAATTTTCTAAAAAGAATACTACTACTAGCAGTTACAAAAGAGGGAGGGCAGGGGGAGCTGGAGATGTAGCTCAGTGGTGGAATACCACTAGATTCAATCCCAGTAACAAAGAGAAAACAATTGTTTACATTGGAACTTTTTCTCATGCAAAATTCTACCCAGAAACCCAACATCTGACAAATTAGAGATGAAATATTTTAGCTGAAGCCAGTTGGAAGGCCCCAACATTCTACACTCTAATTCTCTACCCAAGTGCCCTAGGTACCTTTGAATTCAGTTCAAAAACCACTTCAATAAAATATTCAAATAAGGGGTTGGGAATGTAGCTCATTGGTAGAGCACTAGCCTAGCACACATAATGTCATAGGTTCAACCTCCAGTCCTGCAAAAAATAAATACAAATGAATACATAAATTGAAGTACAAAAAGATGATACTGAGCTGGGCGTGGTAGTGCAGGCCTGTAATCCCAGCAGCTGGGGAGGATGAGACAGGAGGAAGGTAAGTTCAAAGCCAACCTCAGCAATGGCAAGGTGCTAAGCAACTCAGTGAGACTCCATCTCTAAATAAAATACAAAATAGGTCTGGGATGTGGCTCAGTGAATGAGTGCCCCTGAGTTCAATCCCTTGCACCACCACCCCCCAAAAAAGATGATATTGACATAATCAGATGTGAAATGCCTAAACTTAGGCAGGGCCATTCAATTCACACCATAGTTCAAAGGTGTAGCATTCCCTAGGGTCGCTCCAGGGGAACTGGGTAGCGCGCAATAACCACACAACAGACAGAGATACCTTTTTCTTTGGGGGTCCTGAGACAGCTCCTCTGACCTTAAGAGTCCGAAGAAAGAGAGTGTGAGGGCGTGCTGACCCCTTTTATAGAGGAGAAGCCATTCAAATAAGGCAAGGGGTTAGGATTCAAGGGATTGAGTCTAGCTTCATGATATCTGCTGTCAGCAGGTTGACTGACATCTAGGTAGGCCACACCCAAAGGCAGAGCAAGAGAAGGGGTCACACAAAGGGCATTTCCATGGAACATTCTATCCCAAACAGGGCAAAGGGGTAATATCACAAAGGAACAGGTGAGCATAGCTCAATGCATAGGGCTGCAGGAAGTCACGCCTACGCACGAAGACACATTCTGCTATTTCCAGGATTGGGACAACCATCTGGGGCCACTTTGAATGTGGCCAGATCACTGGAAGTGACCAACACAGCCTCAACTGATAAGGGAAGGAAAATGCTAGTCACTCAGCATGAAGGCCCTCCACACAAAGGGTTCTTTGGTCAGCAGATAAACACATTTAATATCTCATCTGAATGACAACAAAGGAATATATATCAGTGTTTAAAGGCTCAGGTTTACCTGTATATCAATATGTAAGAATGTTCAAGACTCAGAATTAAGTCCAGGGAAGCTTCATAGAAACTTAAAGTATGGAACTTTATGGGTGAAAATAAAGTGATTCTACACAGAGATTACAGTATATATAAAGGCATCAATTAACAGAAAGCTCAGCTATATCTATAAAGAACAGCAAGTAGTTCTGAAAGAAGAGATGAGTGTGATTTTTTAAAAAATATTTATTTTTTAGTTATAGGTGAACACAATATCTTTATTTTATATTTACGTGATGCTGAGGACCGAACCGAGTGCCTCACACATACTAGGCCAGTGCTCTACCTCTGAGCGTCAATCCCAGCCCCAGGAGTGTGATTTTTAGAAAAAATATATATATTTTTTTAGATTGAATTTTTTTTAATTTTTATTATTTATTTTTATGTGGTGCTGAGGATTGAACCCAGGGCCTCACACATTCTAGGCAAGTGATCTACCACTGAGCCACAACCCCAGCCCCAGGGGTGTGATTTTTAAACAGGAGAATTTGTGAAGGATCTCCATGCGCCATGGTAAAACTAAAGAAAAATGAGGATGGAAAGAGGGACAATTGCAAGAGTTTGGAGGACTTATTTTCAAAAAAGATTCACTACTGAGAAACTTAGGTTGGACTTATAAAGGAGTCTTTTTAACTACTCCAAATATTGGACACATATTATTCAAAGACAGTTAGAAACCCATAATTAAAGTTTAAAGTCTTAAATTAATAAAGCTAAAAAAATCCTTCAGCTCATAAAACTTAACTAAGATCTATTTATAGAAACAAAGTTTGCTGAGACATTGAAATGTATACTTCAAAAGCAAGGTAAAAACTGAACAAATTTAAGTGAGAGCTCAAATAGTACAGAAGATTTGCTTTTGAAATTCTGTAATTAAACCTCGGAATGAATTGTAGAATTTCCATCAAGAGTCTTCCTATTTTTAACAGGATAAATTTTAGTTCTGTACTGGAAAGGAATAAAATTAGAGAGGGCTTACAATTTTGCAGCATTTAAACTTGGTGGAACATATAAAATAACCATACATAGAGAAAACTTATTTGACAAGATCTGTCTTATAAAAGTATTTGTCAAAGATAATACTTGGATAGAGGCAAAAAGACACTACAGATGAAAAATATGGGGCTGATAAATTTATAATTTTTAATAATAAAAACAGAATGTTCTCCATTTAGTAAATATTATCTGAACAGCACATAAGGAGTACATTAGCAATTAAAAATTTTTTCTAATTACAGAAAAGAAACAACTATAAAGTTTTTAGCAACCACAATGTATAAAATGCAACTCTGAAAATTCATGCAGACAACTTTATGAAAAAATTAAAACCAGAGTGACATAACATAGACAGAGCAGGCTAAAAAAACTGATTTAAGGGGCTGCGGGTTATGGCTCAGCGGTAGGGCACTCGCCTCGCACATGCAAGGCCCTGGGTTCGATCTTCAGCACCACATAAAAATAAATAAATAAAATAAAAAGTTATAAAATTTAAAAAACACTGATTTAAAAAGTTGTTATTTTCAAAAACAATCTGTTTGTACTTCTTAGCATGCAATAAAAACCTTATTTCAGTATTATGTACAATAAAATACTTAAGAAAATTTTATTTTTGAATTTAAAATTTAAGTGAAACTATTTTATTGATCTACTAATGCCATTAAAGACCCATTAATGGTTAAAAAATAAATATTCCAAAAATGTATAGAATTTCAAATATTTTAGTATCCCTTTTTATTCTCAAAAATGCCTCAATTTGAGCAAAAAAATTATATAGTCACCTACTTACAAAAGTATACCTTGATATAGAATCAAATGAAATGTTTCCTTGATAACAAAGAGTTGATTTTAGTAGCATTTTTAGTACAGGGGGCAGGGACCAAACATAGTAAGAAATCCTGAGCTCCAAACTGTACCTTATTAATCATCAAATTACAGATTCATTGGTCACTACATAAACATATATGAGAAGGTATTAGTTTACTAAAGTGTTCTAAAGTACACCCTGTGCTGACTACTATACTAATGTGATACAGTTAAGTGAGAATGGAAAAAGTCATCCAAATTGCCAAGTTACTACTGATCAAGTAAGATGACCAGAGTATTTTAGATGTGTCTCAGTAAAACTGGCTTTTGTCAAACCCAGTGGCACACACCTGTAATCCTAGAGGCTCAGGAACCTAAGGCAGGAGGGCCTCAGGTTCAAAGCCGGCCTCAGGTTCAGAGCCAGCCTCAGAAACTTAGAGAGATGCTTTCTCAAAATAAAAAACAAAGAGGACTGGAGGCTGGCTTAGTGTTAAGGGCCCCCAGGTTCAACCCTTGATACCCAAAACAAACAAACAAAAACCCACACAAAACTTGACATTTCCTTGTTGAACTATAAATACGACCAATTTTAAACACACATACATCACACACACACATAATGAATGCATGGAGGAAAAAAAAATGCCTCAAGTCACCACAGTGACTACCTCTGGATGATGAGATAATAAGTGATTTTTATATTCTTTGTATTCCTATGCATCCTCCTCCTTTTTTTTTTTTTTTTTTGCAGTGCTAGGGATCAAATCCAGGGCCCTGTCCATGCTAGGTGAGGGCCCTACTACTGAACTACACTGCCCCAGCCCCTGTTTTGCATTCTCCAAAGACAGTTTTATGATAAGAATGTCCTACCTATATAATGAGAATGAAACAATAAAGCTATTTTTAATCTGAAAAAAAATTAAAATCCAAAAATCTCATCAGTATACAAAATTGCATATGAACTTTTAGCAACTAAACAGCTAATGAAAAACTTTTAAAAACTTTTTTATTCTAATTTGTTATATATGACAGCGGAATGCATTACAATTCATATTACATATATAGAGCACAATTTTTCTTATCTGTGGTGAATGAAAAACTTTTAAACTTTTAAACAGTTGTCAAAATCAAAATATGGCCTTTTAAAATTCTTTTATTACAATATAAAAGAATTATTTAAGGGCTGAGAATGTAGTTCAGAATATTGAGCTCAGTAGAAAGCTTGCCTAGCATGTACAAGGCCCTGGGTTAGATCCCCAAGCACCACAAGAAAACAATGAAAAATTTATTCATTATCAGTTGTGACTAAGTTAAATATTTATAAATGTAAGAAAAATTACTTCCAAAGAGTCATTTCTATTTACTACACAGTCTGAAAAAAAATGCAACTTATAGAGCCTCTCTGAG